AGTTTTTAACCATAAGATAAATTAGCGAATATACACGTGTTTTCGATAAATTATCGTCAGGTCTATAAATTGATATAGTAGTTAGCTAAATAAACTGTGCAGCTGCCGTGAAATGCCCTCAATCGCCGCCTTCATAGCGTCTACCTTGTCGCTGGGCTCCACATTCAGCGTCTTTATGAAGATCTGTCTGCCACGACTGCCCACACGAAGCACCAAATACACCTTCGCTTCCTCCTATGATTTGTAATTTACCAGTTTGTGCTTTCCTTATCCAAATTCTTACCGGCAAATATCAGACGCTGCGGTGTTCTCCGTGAACTGTCCTCAACCATCGCCTTCACAAATTCTACCGTCGCTCGGCGCCACATGCAGAGTTATCGCTTTTCCCACCAGAGATAACATCTCCTATCCCACATACTATACAGTCACAGTAAACAGGTCAAGCCCAAAAATTGTAAAGAAAAAGCGCAATATAGTATTTGAAAGGAACATGAGAAAAAAATATATAATCAACCACCGCCCACCAACTGCAACGGTGACCCATCCGCGATGTCGTATTCCAGCAGCATCTCACAGTTCTCTAACAACGCTCCGGCAACGATGCCCAGATGCCCGTCCTCTCCTGGATCATCTGCTTCACTCTTGCTATCTCTTCGACGCCCTGGTTCATTAGCGTAGCTCTGCGTCTTTACGAAGATCTTCATGTTTTTGTACCATGGCCCAGCAGACACACACCAACAAAAAACACGACGCAGCCTACGCATCTATTTAACATTGCAAGACATCGCAAGAGTGTTATCGGAGCCTGATTGGTGGATGGGCTTCTGGTCTCGTTTGCGTCCCTTGATATCATCACACCCCCACTGTCCTCAACCCCTCCCCCCCCACCGGTAGCTTACTGATATGTATTGATTACTTCTCGGTTCAAGCGGACCATCTGTAAAGTACCCGCTTAATCTCTTTTATCGATATCTTTTCGTTTGTCCTCTTCACACATACCAGATCTCATAACTTAATAACTCGTTATTCTTCTACCTATGTGCGTGGCTGCTGGGCAGCTTAACACCTCTGTCCAGTGTTACATGATCGGAGAACTATACAGAGAC